GGCGGCCCAGGAAAGCATAGCGGTCAGCTCTGGATCTGACTCGGGCAACGCCACTCTTCCTGACGGAGGCAGCACAGCCGAATCCTCATCTCCAGAGCCTAGGTTGCCCTCCGATGCAGCGATCGACATCCTGTCATCATCCTGTGCCCCGCACTGTATGCTGGGGCGGGGTGCGCGTGGCGAAACACGCACGCCAACTGTCACTGGCTTGTTTAGTTTACACTCGAAGGTGATTGGGCTCTCGGGCGAGATCCCAATTCGTCAGTCACGACTGACGTAACGTAGAACGTGACTGACTGAAAGGGAACTATATTTATTTACATTTAAGAAATTAGATACTCATTATAGAAGTTTTCCAGGTCTAGACATTTCACATTTCAAATTCACTTATATTTAGTTTTTCCAAAAGCCTTAAAATTCTGGTTCTAAAATAATACTGTTGTTGAGAAAATAATGGAAATAAAAAATATGGTGTCAGCTTAAATTTGGATTTTTTTATTAATTTATTTGTTTGTTTGATCTTATTTTTAATGATTTTAAGCCATCTCAAGGCACCTTTGGAAGTTTGATGAGGCCTCCAAGTGGGTCCCCTGCTTGAGAACCACTGCTCTAAATATTTCAGTGTATGTCTACTTGTGCAAATTCTAATGCATGTTCAAATTCACTGTCTGTTACAGTGTGCACTATTATGTTTAAGAGTCTAAATGTACATCTAAATATATAAATATACATTGCTTCTACTTTAAAGTCATCTATGTATAGTAAACTGGGATAATATTTTCACATCCAACAAATGACACTCTTCACTATAATTATTTTAATAATTAGATCTGCATCCTGCTTATTTTTACCACATGGATTGTGTCAGCTCGAAGCGCCGTGACACAATGTCCCTGCCACTACTGTCTTTGTCATTGCAGAAGGCTGAACAGCCTTCAGTGTGAATAGCCTATGTGTTGTACTAATGAAATCTATTCAGACATAAAGCACGTCAGCACAGACAGAAAGGAATATTCACTGATTTTAAATGCATATGAACACATCCACAGTGCTTGAAATGAATGGGTCATTACTGGTTCAAGGGCATCAATAAAATCTATTCCAAGAGCAAACATCAAGGGAAATCGTTCCTTTCAGCATTTAACAGACTCTGACCTCCTTTTCTGAGGATGCTGTGCCGCCATTTGATTATTACACTCTAATACTAGATTTAAAGTGCCTCTGTGCTACAAGAGCATTAATGGCCATCATTAAAAATTACATTCCCAGACAGACACTACACAGTAAATGGTGAGGGATGAAATGAATGAAGGGCGAAACTGTGAACTGAAGAATACGAGGGTTACTGGGAACTTCAGGTAAGACTACAGCATTCACACTGAGTTCAGCTGATTCATCCAGGTTAGCTGATTCGTCTCGCTATATATTCACTCTTTGTTCACCCGCTGTCCACTTAGAATAATTTTCTTCCCGACCTGACTGTTCCCGCTAAATTTAGATCTCGTTTCCAGAATCTCACATTTAAATGTCCGCTACTGAAAGAAAGAGAGATAGGCTAACAAATAAAAGTGTTGTCTGCACAAAATTGTATGTTATTTTATTCGTCTTGTCAAGAGTCTTGGATTTATTGACTTTGACTTGAATTTATATGAATTATATTAAGACACGAAATTAGTTTAATGTTGTACAAAAATTGTATTTCTTATTTTTATTCGTCTTGTCAGGATACAATCCGTTTAACATTTACAACACAATAAGAATAAGTGTCGCAGAAAAAAAAAAAATACAAATGTAGGTTGTACAAGAATAGCCTATTAGCTATTTTTATTCATCTTGTCAAAATACTAAATTAATTTGACATTTTTCTGTTAACACAGTCGGAAAAGTGTCAGAGAAAAAATAATAAATACGACATCTGTCATTTAAAATGATAGGCTAAGCAAAATATAAACAAAACCTAGTTGAACGTCCTACAAGAACAGCGCATCCACACTTTGCTCCATCCTTATTCTGCTCTGTCACTCATCGACAACCTGCCTGTTCTGTCTGAGGGCCGTATATTTACCACCGGTACAGCCTGCTCTGAGCATCGTTATGCACATGCTGCGCACAGACCCCGCAAATAAAACGCGTGATGCAGAAAGCGCGTGCATAACAGTCCGAGTGCAGGCTACCGGTGGTCAATAAGAATAAAGCACAGATATGCTGTTCTGAATGGACGTCGGGAACGGGATATTGTTAGACCGCCTGCTCCCGTTCAAATTACACCAGAGCTACCGACCGCTACCGCGTTTTATTTGGGAATTTAATCCCGCGGCACAAAAAATCTGGTCAGGTCCCGCGGGAGAGCCGCAGGAATGCAGACCTCTAGTCAAGGTGCTTCCTTTGGAAAAGGTTACGAGCACTAAAAGTCCTGAGAAATTCCTGCCTCATGTTGTCATCCCCAGCAGTCGTCGCCTTACCAATGCTGAAAAATAACAGTCTCAGCTTTAGACAACAAGCTCATGGAAAGTTTGTATTTTAGTACTTCCAGTACCATCCGGTTCCATTTAGCTTTTTGCTTCTGCCAACTGTAATTAGGCTTCAAAATTCACAAAGTTGTGTTTATTTGTGAAGATTATCATGATGAACAAAACATCTAAATATCATAAACTTTTGTTGGTCACAGAGCTTATTTTCTGCAATAATTCAAATGCCAATGGAAAATCCTATTTGTTTTTTGCCCAACAAAATACATAATTACAGTGCTCTATATATTTAAAAAAGCAAGCTCTGATATGATGAGACATGACTGCCCTATTTTCTGAATGAGTTATCGGTTTTGATACAACATTGTATCACCGTGACATTAATGATTTCATATTTTATTATGTAAAACAAAATGCAAAACGTAAAAATAAATAAATAAAGCAGTGAATTTTTTTAGCTAGAATAAGATGATTGTGTACTTTATGTAGATAGTCTATAGGCTAGGAATAAAATATGTCTTTAACTACAACATACAGTACCTATGTCAATAAATAAATAGATAAATTAATAAAATAATAAAAAAGAATAAAATACAAAAGTACAAAAAATATAAATTAGTAATAATAATAACAATAATTATTGTTGGGAACAATGTACTTTTTATGTTGATGTTATACTGCAAAGCAAGGTAAAACACTATATTTTAGTGTCCTTGTACTTACTGTGCATGTACTTACTGTAGCAATAACAGTAAATTATGAATAATTACAAGCAACTAACCCTAAACCAAACCCTAACCCTATAGTAAGTAATGTTGTTAACTAAGATTAATATTATTATTTCCATATTTATATAATTACATTGCAACAAAAACACCTTAAAATAAAGTGCAACCCCAAACCCTTCTGCTGTTATTGAAGTGGGATACGGGTAAGGACAGGGACATGTTAGGTTTTAAGCTTGGGTTACGGGGTAGGGTCAACAGTGTAAATATAGATGTAATTACAGAAATTAATTACTATATTGTAATTACAATTAAAATATTGTAATTGCACGCAGGTTATTTCTAAAAATATTTCTACAATGTAAAAATATGTATGTACACAATAAGTGCATTGTATCAAATGATTCATTTAAATGTTAGTACATAGTAGTTAAAGTCACTTCATATACAGTGGGTCCCAGATTAGTTGTGCATGTTTGTTACCATCGGGTGGGTTGGAAAAGGGGTTGTATATGATGGTGTCCAGTGTGCAGGGTCCTCTGGATGAGGGTACAGCAGGGAATCCTGGGATCAGACAGGCGAAGATGAGGAGCTGTTCTTCGGCACAGTTACTCTGCAGAGCCTGCAGCCAGAGCAGGAACAGACGCATGCCCTCACAGCGGATCTGCACACACAAACACAACACCCCTTCCTGCATTCATCACAACAGATGTGTACATCATTATTTGAAGGTCTTCTGGTTCATTAATTGTCTTACCTTGAAAGAGTTTCCAGTGTGCAAAAGTTTTTTGAGTATAGAACCTATAAACGAAAAGAGTTTAAAATGCACAGTCAATAACAGACTTGATCATTACACTGCTTTGTGATGCACAAACCTAAATGTAATGAAAAACTAGAGCCCGACCGATATATCGTTTTGCCGATATGAGCCTGTCGCCATTATATCGGTATCGGCGAATATGCCGCCGATATGAAATTTTTTTTACAGAACATATAACGCAGATAAAATGCTTGAAATGGTGTTATTACTTAGTTTGTCCAAGCGATCCTGGGGGGCTACCGACACACGGAGGGTGGAGTTTGAGAGGGCTCCTCAATCTGAACGGATACCCCGAATTTGGTGGAGATCCACCGGCGCGTTCGCGAGATAGTGACCCCAGTCAACGCTTTCACTTCAGTAAGGAGGTCTCTTGTTCAGGCAGCATCATTCAAGCGTGGTCTTATTCGACCGTAAGTGCCCTGCGAAGTGGACTTCACATGAAATTCGGCCATGATTCCAGTTCCAAGGGAACGTACACATTACATTCAAAGGGCATTAAAGTGCACGAGAAGTGAATTTATATTGTATTTATTTACATATATATATTGTCTCACACACAGTATATTATGTCACTAGGCATGGGCCGGTATGAGATTCTGACGGTATGATAACCTTAGATAAAAAAATTATCACGGTTTCACAGTATCACGGTATTGCGATTACAGCTCTAAAATATGTTATTTTAAATGTCTGGATCTGACGGTATGATAACCTTAGATAAAAAAAATATCACGGTTTCACAGTATCACGGTATTGCGATTACAGCTCTAAAATATGTTATTTTAAATGTCTGGATAAAAAAAAAACTACTTTTTTTCCCCCACTGAACACATTTTATTTTTAAGAAACATATATAACATTTTGGAACAGTAAACATGTCAGGCTAAATAATTAGAATAAATAATTAAATTATTCTTAATTAAATGCAGTCACTTAAGTGAGCCTAAACCTGCAGCTCAACAATAATCAGAACATAAATGTAGTTTTTTTTTTTTTTTTTTTAAATGCGTGATTTTGAACAGATGTAAACAATGGCAGGAGGCTTAAAAGTATAGACGTGATACCAGTTAAATTTAATTATTGTACTAAATCACAGAAAAGTAGGCTACAGTACGTACTTTAGACTGCTATTCCTCACTCTGTGAAGTAACGTGAGGGAGGAAACTAGTTGACGTTAGCTAGTTAATTAGCCATGTTATCGGCCTCGGTAGCAAGCCAAATAGTATTTATTTCAACACTGAAACAAACGGTGGGTAGGTCTCTGTCTTGATCGGTGGTGAAAGAGGGAGAAAATTTAACGGAAAATTTTTGTGGTTTTGAAACCGTGACTTTTCCAAACCGCAGTAAACCTTGAAACCGGTTATCGTCCCATGCCTATATGTCACACTACACACTTCTCTAGTAAGTTTCGTCTGTGTGTGAAGACAGTAGCACAAAACCGTGAATTAATGTTCCGAAGTGAAATAAACTTAAGCGGAATAAAGTTATATGGAATTGAATTGATTATAAGTGTTTCATCACCACATTTGAGTGATCATTGCAAAAAATGTGTTTATGTATATATATTCTGTTTATGTACAGTATATACTGTATTCTATAAATAATACCAGTCAAATGTTTGGACACGAATGGGAAAGTGTCCAAACTTTTGACTGGTACTGTACTATAATATACACAAAGAATATCGGCCGATATATTGACATCGGCCTTTTTTACTCCCTAATATCGGTATTGTATCGGGCCCCAAAAAAACAATATTGTTCGGGCTCTATTAAAAACGTTAATATTGACTATGATGAAGTGATCTGAAGGCTGACACCAGCTGCTGACAGAGGACTTGCATCAGTATGAGTCATTTTATTTTATATCATGCTAAAATATAGCTCGTTTTCACTGTATAGTTCTTTTTGCTGTGAATTCAACCCTAAAATGTTTTATATATTACACAACTCTAGACTTAATCTGACTTTACTTAAAAAACAAAAAAAAGCCACAACAGTGTCTAATAATATTTGCTATGGTGTCCCATGTACTTGTATAGAGTGCAATGATCTTGTGAAAATTTATTTTTAATGATAACTTATACAATTTTAAGACAGACCTACTGTGAGCTGCTAGGTTGTTAAAGGGGTCATATGATGCTATTTTAAAGATCATTATTTTGTGTA